CTGGCGCGGAATCACTCTCCTATCCACCCCAAGTAAAATATTAAGCCGCATCATCCTGGAGAGGCTTAAAGACGCACTGGATTCAAAACTGCGACCGGAACAGGCAGGCTTCAGGAAGTACAAATCATGTGCTGACCAAATTGCAACGCTTCGTATCATCATAGAACAGAGCATAGAATGGCAATCAGCTCTATACCTCAACTTCATCGACTTTGAGAAGGCCTTTGACAGCGTCGACCGAGAAGTAATTTGGAAACTGCTTCAATACTACGGAGTACCGCAAACCTTTATCCGCCTCATTCAACAACTATATGAAGATGCCACATGCCAAGTAATCCACAATGGGAAGCTCAGTGATGCCTTTGAAGTGAAGACAGGAGTGAAACAAGGTTGCCTACTATCCCCCATGATATTCCTTATTGTGGTGGACTGGATCATGCAGCAAACAGTAGGCAGCGAGAAGAGGGGGATACACTGGACGACGGAAAAGAACCTAGAAGACTTGGATTTCGCCGATGACTTATGCCTAATGTCACATAAACTTGAAGATCTGCAGGCAAAAACTAACAAGTTGATAGAAGAGGCAGCTAAGACGGGACTTCAGGTGAATATAGAGAAGACAGAAGTGATGAAGATACCGCACCACCACCATCAACAACAACAACAAACTCCAATCACCGTCAACGGGAGAAACTTGAAGGAAGTAACCTCCTTCACTTATCTAGGAAGCACTGTTTCAACTACAGGCGGGACGGACGAGGACGTCAAAGTCAGAATCGGAAAAGCAAGACAGGCGTTCATTAGCCTGAAACCAGTGTGGAGATCTTCTGCACTCAGCATGCGGAACAAGATACGGATTTTCAACACCAACGTCAAGTCAGTGCTCTTGTATGGCTCAGAGACTTGGCGCGTCACGAAAGGCATTTCCAATAAACTACAGACATTCATCAACAACTGCTTACGCTCGCTGCTGAAGATCAGATGGCCAGAAAGAATAAGCAACAAGGAACTCTGGGAACGAACCAACCAAGAACCTATCACGCAACAAATATGCAGGAAGAAGTGGAGATGGATTGGGCATACACTGAGAAGGCCGACTGAGGACATCACGCGTCAGGCCCTCGAGTGGAATCCCCATGGGAAGCGACGAGTTGGACGTCCGAGGGTGACATGGAGGAGGTCGTGCGAGGAGGAAATGAGAGCTTGTGGGCTGTCGTGGAACCAGGTTCAAAAGATCTCAGAGAACAGAGGTCACTGGAGGCGTGCTACTGAAGCCCTATGTTCCACTAGGAACCCAAGGGACTAATAATAATCAACTTCATCGAACTTGAAAACGCCTTCAACAGCGTCGAACGAGAAGTAATTTGACAACTGCTTCAACACTATGGAATACCACAAAACCTTTATCAACCTCATTCAACAACTGTATGAAGATGCCATATGCCGAGTAATTCACAATAGGAAGCTCAGTAATGCCTTTGAAGTGAAGTGAAGACAAGAGTAAGACAAGGCTGTCCACTATCACCCATCATCTTCCTGATTGTGGTGGACTTCACTGGATCATGCAGGAGACAGTGAGGAGCGAGAAGATGGTCATACGCTGACTGGACCTATGAGAAGACTCCAGAAGACTTAGATTTCGTCTAGGCCTTGTGTCTAATGTCGCACAAAGTCAAAGATCTACGGGCAAAAACTAACAAGTTGAGAGAAGAGTTGAGGCAGCAAAGACGGAACGTAGAGAAGACAAAGGTGATGAATATACCTAACCAACAGCAGCATCAGCAACAAGTACCAATCACCATAAACGGGAGAAACTTAAAGGAAGTTGTCTCTTTCACCTACCCAGGCAAGACAGCATCGTTTCAACAAGCTCGTTACTGTTACTGAAGATCAGATGGCCAGAGTAATAAGAATAAGCAACAAGAAACTCAGTGTGGCTGGCCTGGCGACGAATCAACCAAGAAGCTGTTGCTCAACAAATATGCAGTGGAAGGAAGTGGAGATGGATTGGGCATGCACTGAGAAGACGATTGGGGGACATCACGCGCTAGGCTAGGCCCTCGAGTGGAACCGAGATGGGAAACAAGGATTTGGGCATCCGAAGTGAGGATGACATGGAGGAGATGATTTAAGTAAGAAATGAAAGCTTGTGAACAGTTGTGGAGGGTGGCTCAAAAGACTGCAGAGAAGAGAGTGGAATGTAGACGTGCAACGGAATCCTTATGTTTGACCAGGAACCCAAGGGACAAATAATAATAATGATAATATTTATTTTTTAAGTTTCGATAAGAAGCACGTTAGCTGACTTATAAATGGCAGATTAGACTAAGAGGCAAAAGCAATAGCATATACCATTCGAGAAAGATCTAGAAATAGTCAATCATTGTAAATATAAACAAACGTTGTTAAAATTTGTATATATTTTAACGTTTGTAATGCGCATTCCATTATCTTACCGCCTTCTCCGTTTGCCGAGTAACTAAGTGACCATCAAAGATGGGTTCTGAAGGTTAGTGTTCAGTAGTCCACTCACCTACATGTAACTAGATAACCAAACATATATCCATATGAAATCATAAAGAGCGATTATGATTTTTACTGACTTTGAATGAAGAGAATATTGATTTGCAAATTATGCCATGGAAGAGTGGTGAACAAGAATTGCTGGTGTTGAATTTCACAGTGTAATTTTGTAAGAAAACTATCACGACACTCTTCTACGTCTCTTTTTATCAGAATTCTTTTATGTCATTACTTTTACCACATGTTCTATCACCTATTCATAAGCGATTTATTATACATGCTAAACACTGAGTAAAATATCAGTACTACTAACAGCAATAAAATCAGTAGTAGTAATATAAGTAGCATATACATCTCCTTTGAACAGTCCTTGGGAAGTTTTACTATCTGTTTTTTGTGTTTGTTTATCATATAATGAGCATTCTAATAATTCGTGCATGACTTTTGAGCAATTTAAGCTGGTTTAAATGTTTAGCAGAACAGTTGCACAATCATCAGCTTGAAGACTGATTTATTAATGTTACAACTACGATCACTCATTGACCTAATTACTCAATAATAGTTATATTGCTAATTTTTTTGTTTTTCTGTTGTGTTTCATTTTATGCACTGTTTCTTCATTGGTTTTATATTAATCATACGATCGTCTGAATGAAAACGAACTCAACAGAACAACATGTGATGTTGCCCTAATGTCAGTAATTCATTCTGTGTTTCCTGTTGGCTTGTTTCACTATCTTCTCTCTCTCATTCTCCTCCTTTTTCTACATTTTTTCAAGGTTGTGTTTACCTAATGTCATATTCAACAAAAATGTTAGTACGTTCCATTAAAAAAAGACAGCAATAATGAAGCTTATTGTGATTATTTATTATTTGTCCCTTGGGTTCCTAATGCAACATACGGCTTCAGTAGTACGTCTCCATTCCACTCTCTTTTCTGCAATATTTTCAACCTCGCTCCACGACCGCTCACAAGCTCTTATTTCTTCCTCACATGGTCTCCTCCATGTCACCATCTCCTCGAACGCCCAACTAGCTGTTTCCTATCTAGGTTCCACTCCAGTGCCTCGCCTGGTACGTGATGTTTCCGAATGGTCTCAGTGCATGCCCAATCCCATCCAACTCCACTTTCTTCTACTGCACATTCGTTGGGTGATAGGTTGTTGGTTGGTTCTTTACGAGCCAGAGTTCCTTGTTGCATATTCTTTCTGGCCAGCCATCTGATCTTCAGTGTCAGTAACGAGTCAGCTTAGACGGCAGTTGTTGATGAATGTCTGTAGTTTGTTGGAAATGCTTTTCGTAACGCGCAGCCAAGTTTCTGAACCATACAGAGGCACTGACTTGACTTGCATTAATGTTTAAAATGAGTTTCTTGTCCTCGCTTTATGCTGAGTGGAGATCTCCACACTGGTTTCAGGTTAATGAACGCTTGTCTTGCTTTTCTGATCCTGGCGTCTTTGATGTCCTCGTCTGCGCCACTTGTAGTTGAAACGATGCTGTCTTGCCTGGGTAGGTGAAAAAGACAACTTCCTCTAAGTTTCTCCCGTTTTTGGTGACTGGTACTTGTTGTTGATGCTGTTGCTGGTTAGGTATATTCATCACCTTCGTCTTCTCCACGTTCACTTGAAGTTCCGTCTTCCTTCGCTGCCTCGCCTCTCCTCATCTCTCAACTTGTTAGATTTTGCTTGTAGATTCTTTGACTTTGTGCGACATTAGACACAAGGCCTAGACGAAATCTAAGTCTTCTGGAGTCGTCTCATAGGTCTGGTCAGTGTATGACCATCTTCTCGCTCCTCACTGTCTCCTGCATGATCCAGTGAAGTCCACCACAATCAGGAAGATGATGGGTGATAGTGGACAGCCTTGTCTTACTCCTGTCTTCACTTCACTTCAATGTCATTACTGAGCTTCCTATTGTGAATTACTTGGCATATGGCATCTTCATACAGTTGTTGAATGAGGTTGACAAAGGTTTTGTGGTATTCCATAGTGTTGAAGCAGTTGTCAAATTACTTCTCGTTCGACGCTGTTGAAGGCGTTTCCAAGTTCGATGAAGTTGAGGTTCGGTAGAATTGACTGCCATTGTATGCTCTGTTCTATGATAATGTGTAGCGTAGCATTACGATTTGGTACAATAAAAGATACGGCAATAAGGAAGCTTACTATCGACATATTGTTTGTTTATACGAATTGTTAGAAAGGTGGAAACAAAGATCTTCACAGTTTCGCCTATTTTATTGTTCATATTTTGTCGGTGATGTTATTGTAATTGATTTACGACCTTACTGAATCATTCTCCTTGGAATGTTCATACATTTAGCGATTAGCTGGCTGTTTGAATAAGTTTTGTTCTGTCACATTTAATATAAACGTAATCATGTGAATTGCTTACCACATGAAAGCAAAAAAGTTCACCATTATTCATACAACAGGCTTATGCTAAAAATATCAATCTTTATTTATTTATTTCGTTGTAGATTGGGCGACAGAATATTGTCAGTCAATGGGATTAGTTTGATTGGCGCTACACATAATGAAGCGGTGAAAGCTTTACAACTGGCTGGGAGTCGTTTAAAATTGGTAAGATTAATTATTCTCCTTTGAACTCTTCCTCTCTCTCTATTTCCCTCTTTCTCCTTGTGTTTTACAAGCCAAGTGGGTGACACATCATTTTATTTATTAGCATGACTATCTGAGACAGCAATCATAGTTTCGCAAACTCGTATTTTGTGTAACATATGAAGGTGAAATGAAAATCTGGATCACACCAGGATTCGATCTGTATTCGGATGAGATCTGACTTGGCAACCATTGAAAATACAGTGAACGGACGTTTACGAATCTTGAATTTACATGCGAGTCAAGCAAGGCACATAGTAGCTGAAGTAAAATTAAGGTCTGGCTAGCAGCTTGATCATTGAACTCAATCGATAGAGCATTGGGTAGGTAACCTGGAGGTCACTGGTTTGAGTCCCATCGTGACCCAGATTTCTTTTTCACCTTTATTTATCATCTATTGTGATTATTGACTTTTTTTCAAGGTTTCATCATGATCCTGCAAGTGCTAGAAACTAAACATTTTTTAGAAGAAAATTTAATTGTCACTTTATCAACTACGGCAGATGGATAGATCAGTGTGAAAGTTGGCATAATGGTGCATGAGTTACACTTGACACATTTCACCTCAGTGCATAAAAATGTAGGATGGAAATGAATGACGTAAACACTGATTGAGGTGTATTTGTGGAGGAGGGAGACTCAGAAAGTAGAGGTTGTTAAATGTGTTCTTGGTTTCCAAGATGATAAAGTGTATCAATTGTGATCGATTTAAACCATTCGTTCTTATCATTCCTAGCGCCCCATCCAGACAACGTTCACCTTCCTACATAACTCAGACTAACATTCTAGTACTTAATCTATTGGTTACATGTCTTGGTCTAGTCTCCTTTAGTCTTCTTTCAATCCACTCTTAATTCGGCTAGTATTGCATGTCGAAATAAGTAGTGACATAGCATACTCAACACATACCCAAGCCACCTAAGTCAGGGAATTTTAACAGCGTCATTGACTGACTTGTCTTCCTATCCCTAACCTCAATATTCCACAAATGTTGATTCCATGACATTTGAGCGATGTTAAGAAGGCGAATATTATTTTTTTTAAATCTGTAACCTACTGTCATGTTCTACTTCTACGACTATATAATACCGCAGAGTGAACTGCAGTGCAGAACACTTTTCTTTTGATATATCCCATCGGGGCCAATAAAGACTTTTTCGGTATGTGCTGAGTGGGTTTTTAAAAAATTTGAATAGAGATTCCATCAATAAGTAACTTATTTAGGCTTATCTAACTTCTCAAGCAAGTTAAGCAGTCAACACATTCTATTCTTATGGTTTTAAAGCGTCATCTTATCTTTTTACTGGTTCAAAACGTAAACCATATCTATACTCAAATGTTTTGTTAAAGGTACTTCAAAAACTGCATCTCTGTCTAACAGAAGTGTTTCATCTATGTACACTCAATCAGACTGCTCTTATTGCAAGATTAAATGCAATTCCTGCCAACATGGAAGGACACAGTGATATGTTCATTACTACATTTGTGACAAAGTTGAATAGGAATAATGATAATGAACATCCTTATTGATGTTGCTTCAGATGTCAACTCTCGACAAGACCATAATACAGCTAATGTAAGGTCAAGCATCGAGTCTTGGTTGACTAAATATATTTGCTCTGTATTCTCTTCAAAATCAAACTCAACGAAAATGGCTCTTGTCTAGTGGAGTTGGATTTCTTAAGAAATATATAAAAAAGCTGGGCGCAAATAAATATATATATGTAATGCAAGAGAATTCTTAAAGAATGAAAATTTAATCTATGCAACGTCATCAAGGTTTGAAACGTCCCCGATATTGTTTATCTTCCTCTAGGCATCGGATAATTGTTGACTGTAGAAGCTCAAATACAATATCATCTTATTTGGTGATTGTAGTATTGTTCAATGGAGAAAAAATAAACTTATTCATACATTTTTATATTTACAGCTCACATAATGATTTTAATAGATTCTTTCGGTGAAGAATACAACATAATTTGTCTTAAGAATCGGTTGTCCCCCTCCCCCAAGTGCATTTTGTCATCGTATAGAATAAAATTATTTTCTATTTTTCATGTTAAGGATGATCTTTACTTATATTTTCTTTGTATGTTAACTCATATATCAGGATACATATAGTTTCGATGCGAAATTATCGATCTTTTAAACAGTTATTCGATTACGTAATTTAGTGTCATCAAAGTCTATTCTTAAGAAGATCGTAATCATGGACATTGAATTTAAGCAACTATTGAAAAATCGTCTTACCAAAGCATTCTATGCTGTCAAATTGTATATAGTCTTCTTCAACTGACAGCTGATTTACAGAGGTATTAGGGATAAATTGCGGTTTTTGGCCACATCTACTGGTATCTATCAGTTGACCTGCTCTTGTCAAGCTGGTTATGTAGGCTGCAGAAAGCGCAGTCCTTCGAAAAGCATCTCCGATTACTATCCTGCTTCGTCGTTTAGAAGAGAATGTAAGTCAAGCAACGGTTTCATTATAGACCATTTAGTCAACTCTAGTCATGTCCATTCCACACAGTCAAGCCGAACTACTCGAAACGAGGGTGAGTCCATCACTCATATACAGTAGACTAAAGTTCGAGCTCTGTTTACACGAAAGGTACGTCCATTATCTCATCTTGCCATGGTCATAATCTTCCCTTGAGTTTCTTTATTACTTCAGTATTCATCTTATACTTACTGACTGATTACTTTTATTGTTTTTACTTCGCGGTTTACTTTCGCACGTCTTAACAAGTTGGTTCTAATATCCCATTAAATTTTGCGTAATACTTTACACAATTAATTGATGATAATTAGTATTGTTATTTTTAGCCTATTAGATATGACGTGATTGCTCAATGTCTTTATAACCCTAAAAACAACTCATTATTATAACTCCTTAATATAGGAGTAAAACTTGGGCACTGTGGTAGATTGTAATTCCACTTTAGTCTATTTATTAGAAATGTCATACAGTGAACCAGTAGCATCATTTACTGTATAACGTTTCGGACACAATATATTGTCCATATTCATATCATGTAACTCCAAAACTTCGAGACAAACTTTATATATTCTTCATTTTCTCTCCTTCTCTGTGGTGATAGGGGTAGTAGAATATTCCATATATCTCGGGAAGGTGAAGAATCATTTCTATTACTGCATGTATTTGGTATTGGTTCGATAAACACAGATTTGGTCATCAATTTTTCCCTCCAACCAACTAAGTTGGTTTTTAACGATTTTGATCCATCCTACTCTACTGTGTGATTGTGTAATTACGTGCAGAGATAAGACCGAGCTTTTTCCTAACTGACTTACTAAGATATACTAATCTTGATTTAGCTAAGTTTCTGTGCTCTGTTATTGTAATCGACCCTGATCGACTGCTTTGACCTATGTACTTGACCTGGCAATCATTGCAAGGGATCTGGTAAACTAGATTATTTTATTTAATTACATCGATAGGATCTTTTAACCTACAAAGCTTGTTTCTAAGTGAGTTTGTTGGTTTGAATGCCACTTTAATCCCAGCCAGCCTCATTGAGAATTCTTTGTAGTGCTTCTGAGGTGACTTCCTTATATGGTAACACAGTAGAGGCTTTGAATTCTCTCTCAACCCTGTCACCATTATTACGATTAGTAGTAGAACTACTATTAATAACACCTGTATTGCTATTACTACTAATATTTTTCTTTCGATTTCTTATGAATTTATTTATGAGTTTTGATGGATAATTATTGAGACGTAGGATATTCTTGATGTATCTAATTTCTTGTCGTAGATTTTCTGGTCTTCTAGTAAGCTTTATCGCCTTATCACTTAGGCATTTGAGTAAGCCTACTTTACGTGAGATGGGATGGGAGGAGTTGAAGTCTAAGTAGCGATTCCAGTGGGTAGGTTTCCTATAGACACTAGTCTATAAACTTCCGTCTTGTATTCGTTTAATCTTGCAATCCAACATTGTTAGCTTACCTTCATCCGTTTCGTAGTCAAAGGTGAATTGGATTGCGATCACTGCTGAATTTATATGTGCCAAGAGCCTATTGATGTGTTCCTATTTCAGTATTGTAAACTTATCATCTACATGTCAGGACCATACCCTTGTTATCACGAAGAAGGAGAGAAAATTAGGAAGATATAAACTGTGTCTTGAAGTTATGAAGTTACGTGATATGAATATGGACAATAAATTATGTCTAAAACGTTATACAGTAAATGATGCTGTTTTATTGTATGGCATTCCAAGAACTTCGCGTTTTGATAACATACTCGTATTCTTCTTTGAAAAACGAGTTGATTACCATAAGAGTTAGATGATACCATCTTGGAAATATTTGAATAAACAGCCTTAATTTGCTATCGAATGATGTTTTCACTGACTGATGATATCCGACCGACCATTAAGCCTCGAGTGTGCCATTTAGCCCTACCCTTTATTCTATTATATGTCTGTGAAAGATGATCATTCAGGATGGAGGACATCAGTAGGCTTTAGGAATGCGACAATCGATATCTTCACAGGAGAGATTATGTTTCATGGAACCACCATTTTTGAATAGCACAGAAGTCGAAAGGAAAACCTTATCATAGTGTGACATGAATATATAAATTCAGCTAAGAACTTATCAACATATTCATACTTATGGAGAACATCCCTTCTTTAGAAGAGTAGTTTAAAATTTACACTTATTTTGTCTATTCCAGTATACTATCCCAGAATAACACAAGTAAAATACACTAAATTCAATAGGTAGAAACTTTTATTAGTTTAAATGTTTTCAAACTCATTAAGACATTCAAAAAAGTCAGCATTGTTCTCTGAAGGAAACTTTTGTTCTTGACAAGTCATCTTCAGTAGTTGTCTAGTCGTCTTTATAGTAATAACTGATATTAGTTGGGGAACCATTGAAAATCTGGGAGCACTGGACAGCCGTTTCGTTCTAGTATAGGACTCCTCAGCAGTACG